CCCCCCGCCGCTGCTCTGCCAGGCGCCTCAGCCCTGCAGCTTGATGCCATCTCATGGGCCAGGCGCTTCGGCACCTTGCCCGTCTGGCATCTGGGGAGGCCACCCTGCCCTTCCCTCCCCACTTCTCCTGCAGGGGTGTCCCCAGCGGGGCTTGTCCCTGCCTTCGAGGAGCCTCGACGCCACCTTCTAGGGGCAGGCGTGGGGCCGGGGCGAGCCGAGCTGTGCGGAGAGGGGCTGGGGCTGGGGGGGGGGGGGGCGGGCGGGGGGGGGTTTTGCTGTGTGGAGAGGGGCTGGTGCTGGGGAGTGAGGAGCAGGGCGGGGGGCGTTATCAGGGGCCAAACTCCTTCCTGTTTTTATTTAAACCAGTGTCCTTTGTTACTCAATAAAATTATATTTTTAAAGAGTTAATTGCTTGGATTATTATTTTATTCCTGTAGGCAGGTGTCTCAGTGTTTAACACGAGTTAAACAAGTCAAAGTTGGACTCTGTTAGGCCCAGGCCTTGCCTGGAGGCTCCTGTAGCCTCCTGCAGGATGGGGCTATGATGGATGCTTGGCAGCAACTGGTGCTGCTGGGACTCTGGAGATATTCAAAGCCCACCTGGATGATGCCCTGTGTAACATGCTCTAGGTGAACCTGCTTTACCAGGAGGGTTGGACTAGATGATTTCCCAAGGGAAATTCTGGGATTCTGTGACTCTTGCTGGAGCGAAGGGGTTTTTCCGTCCCACATCTCCAGGCTGAGCAGGGTCTCATCCGCTTCCCAGTACCTGAGCATCCTTTCCCCACCCACCTCGCTCAGTCCAAGGCTGTGCCGGGATCTGTGGTCCCCGGGTCTAACCCAGCCCCCTCCGGCCGTACCGATATGGAGGTGCATAATCTCTGGTGTCTCCCCCAGGAGGATGCCTGCCAGGACTTTGCCATTTCCTGCACAGCCTGACGGGATTTGCCACCTCCTTGGACGTTAGCCCTGCTTTCTGAGGGTTAGCTGGTAAGAAAGTGCTTTATTCTCCCTGTCATCCACTTGAGCGACCCATCTCATTTCCACTGCATGACCAGCTCTGTCCACGGAACCCATCACCCTCCGGTTGTGTAGACATCTGTGTGCCCTGTCCATCCCACCAGTATCCCACTGGCATCCCACCGGCATGAGGGGCAGTGAGCCCTGGGTTGTGCAGGGCTGTGTGGCCGAGGGGTTGCCCACAGCCTGGGTGAGAAGAGAAGGGATGGTTTCCCCCAGCTTTGTGCTGGGGCTTGGTACAAGATGGAGCTGCCTGGTCCCAGCGTGGCAGCACTTGGGAAGCGGCATGGCTGAGGGTTGGCTCAGGTGCCGGGCAGAGGGTTCCTGAAGCCGTGAGCTTGCCGGATGGCATGCTGTGGCGGTGGGTGCTTGGAGCTGCCATGGTGGGCTTGGAGGAAGCTCCCAGCTGATGCAGAGGTTTAGTGTTTGGAGCGAGCTGTGGCCAGAACAGTGGAGTAGGAGCCTGGGACAGATTTCTGTGGTTCAGGCAATCCCTCCCCTCCCTCCCCCTCTGCCTGTTTTCCTCTCTAACACCAGGTTCCTCCTCTAACGTGCCCCTGGCCGCAGTAAGTTCCTTCCAAAGCACACTGCAACGAAGTCCAGCTTCACTTGTGTGCTGCAGAGCTGCCCCCCTTCTCCCTGTGCACCCCTGCCCTCTTCCTCCCTGTAGCACCCCATGGGCTCATGCATGGAGGCAGGCTGCTACTTTCCCCCTGCCCGTGTGTGCCAGTGCTCTCCTCCATCCCGAACCATCTCCCTTTTCTGCCACTGAGCCTGGGTGCTCCGCTCTGCTCCCTGCTGCTCCTCGCTCATGTATTTCTGGCTCTAACCCTCTCTTTCTCTTCCTCCCCTCTCCTCTTCCTTGCGCCGGGTCAATCCAGTATCGAGCGCCCTGGCAGCCCGCAGCCCTCTGCCTCTCGTGGAGCACCCTGCGGGGAGCCAAGACACCATGGGCAGCACCCAAGACTACAGCCATGACCACCATGAGTGCCTCTGCTTGCCAGGGCCACGCGGCTGTGCCTTCCTCCCTCCCATCGCAAGAGAGAGGGGAAAGCAGCCATGCACAAGGAAAAGCTTTTCCAAGCCCCGCCGTGGGAGCCGGGACGGCCATCCGGCGGGGTCAACGCTCAAAGCCCTACAGCT